ATTCTGCAGGGTGTATTAGCTCGCAGCCTGAGGGTGAGGAGCAGCTGCAGGTGGATGTGAGGCTGCTTGCATGGCTCCTGTGGCTCCTGCAGCAGCTAAAAGCCAGGCCCTACAGCCAGCCTGCAAAGGGAGACAATCAAACAGCTCTCAGGGCTTAGAGAGAGACAGTAAAATGAAGAAAAATGATAAGTTTGGAGCTCAGAAGAGTACTAAGGCTTTATTTAGATGCATTTCTGGCTGGAGAGAAGATATGTGACAACACTAAATTACAGATGTACTTTTGTGTCATCTCTTCCACAAGCACAAAGGACAAAGACAGAAACAAGGGGGATATTTTCTTCTCTTATGATCAAGTACCCTTGATTCCAGGCAGGCAACTGAGAGAACAAGGCCAAGGTTTCAAGAACAAAGGAAACAAAGTTAAGCTTTGAATGCCTGGATGCAAAGAATCCTTCTAAAAGCACCTTTGTCAACTCACCTAAAACAAAAACCCAAAAACAACCCAGGCAGTGCCTGCTCCTGCTGGCAGAGGGGAAGCCATGCCCACAGTCTGCCTGGAGCTGCAAAGCCAGCCAGGTCCCTCCTGGAAGCTCCCTGTCCCCAAAACCCATTCTGAAAGGTGCAGTAAAGCACACTAATAGAGCTTCAGGTGGAGCTGTCTAAAATGAGCCTCTGGCTGTGGGGTTGAACACGGCCTCTGTCAGCCAGAATTAGCTGTGACCCCAAGGTGCTGCCCTTGGGGAGGATGTGTGCTGTTGTGGCTCACCACTTGCAAGACAAAATCCAGCAACTCTTAGTTTCTGGTACCTCAAATCCCGCCCATCAGACTTGAAGCTTTTCAAAAAATAGTGGTGCTGGGACCTGTGTGTCCTTATCTTCTGCATCTGAGCCCTGCAGACATTCCTAGTGTTCATCTTTGTTTTATGGTGTGCTTTAACTGTGAGAACAGCCTAAGTGCTATACTTATTTCTTAAAAATGCACTAAAACATTTACAGTGGCTACAAAACAGTGGCTTCTCTCATTGCAGTGGGGTTTTTTACACTTTATTGTTAAATAAAGCTCATTTGAAATTTACTGGAGTATAATTCTCCAGCTGCATTTATTACATGTTTCATTGCCTTGGTCAATATCCAACATCTTCGTAAATAATGCAAGTAAAGCATTAACTCTGGTTATTTATTATACTTTAACTGATCCTGTCACCTGAGCAAACATTCCCATTTTGGCAAAGGAAGAGAAAGCAGCATCTTCTGGGAAGCAAGAAAAACTTTCACCCACGCTTGCTTCAAACCCCACAGTTCTGCACACAGAACAGGAGACAGCACTCGAGTTTTTAATGTTCCCCTCCTCCCTAAGGAGCTGCAGTCTTTTAGCCTACATAAGCCCCATGAAAAATGTCAGGCTAGGTAATTTATTTCCAGTTACGATTTTTGTGTGTGTTTGAAATCAGTTTGCTGATTTAGCCACTGGTACACAGAGTGCCTCTGTGTCTCACACAGCTCGTCAGTCTTTCAGCGATCTGCACAAAAAGTTGCATCTGCAAATGAGGAATAAACACTTATCTTTTCAACCCTTTGTATGCTGCAAGCTTAACGCTGACTATTCAAGCCTGGCCAGCCTACACAGAGTTCTAGAAGCAAGCAAGAGTCTTTCAAACAATCTTCCAGCTCTGCTTATGTACAGTAACTTTTCACATGCACTCTAGCTCTAAAGCAGGCAAACTTGGGTCTTAGGTCTAAAGCAGATTTTAGATCCTGCTGTCAAAAGGAGAACCAGGAGCACAGGCGTGATTCCCCTTCTCCTTCCATCACAAGACAGAGCACAGTGCCTTCCATCAACAATCACCTGGATCTCTACAGGCACTTACCAGAAACAAACAGCCTCAGATCTCCCACTAGGAATATTGATGAGTGAGGAACAAACCAATGCAAGCAAATCCAAGAGCAAAGAGTGAATATAAAGGTCACTATTTACTTCCTACTGTTTACAGCAGCTTCATGTTTTCTAATAGCCTAAATCTGCTAGAGCCACAGCAATTCCACCAGCAGCAAATTTAATCCTACATTTAACTAAGAACTGCACTAAGAGCCAGCAGACTCGTCCCTCCTTGACATCCTCCCGTCCGTGTCCCCCACTGCTGCTCTGATGGATGTTTTGGTTGATCTCTGTGGGTTCCCCCCTACCCAGGCATCTGGGCCCAGCCAACCATGCACTTCCAAAAGCTGCTCTTGTGGTCTTGCTAGTTCTTCAATTCCTTTTCGCATGAGGAGCTCCACTGACAGCTGCTCAGCGCTCCAGATGGAGGTTTGCAAATACAAAGTGGAACACAGAAGCGTTCAGGGACCAGGAAAGGGAATGTGCTGACTGAGGAAATACACCAGCACTGAACCATTCCCCACCACTCCTCCACTTCCTCCACCCCAGACAGAAGGATAATTAACTGCTTGCTACACTAACATCTTCACATTAGCAAAAAGCCCGGGGAACTAGAATAAACAGCAGCAACAGCAAAGATGGAATGGGAACAGTGTGCTCACAAAACAAAAACAGGAAAAAAAAACACCAAAAAAAGGTGCTTTTGACTAGGTTCAGAGAGTTCTTCACTGAGAGCTCAGCTGTAGCATTGCCACAAATCCCTGATTTAAGGTAGAGGAAACACAACCCAGCCCTGCACCAGTGCAGGAAGGAACTCAGCCCACCGGGAGCCAGCCCAGCCACACCCATGCCCCTCACCATTCCCATGCTGCAGAAAGCAACAAGACTTTATCTTCTCCCAGCAGTGGCTACTAGGGACCCACAGCTCCTCAGACCCCCTCTCCAGTCATTATGAGGCATAAAGAAAAACTTTGGAAGCGCATTTTTCTGAGTTGATAAAATTCAACTCAATCTTGGTAAGAGAAACAAAAAAAAAAAAAAAAAAAAAAAAACAAAAACAAAAAAAAAACAGCCACAAACAGAAGTAGGAGCACGTTCCCACATCAGTTCTGGAGCTGCTTCCCTACTCCAAATATTGAAGCCTTAAATCAAAATTAATAAAAAACCATTTAGTCTTTTGTAAATGTGAGAACCTTAGAAGGAAGATCTCTGTAGATTATAGGAGGTCTCTGGCAGCTGTGATGAGCTGGCAATGGCAAAATGTTTACATGAACCACAGATCTCTTGGGATGGGGTGGAAGTGCCTCTGTGTTTCAGTCCCCGCCACCTTCACCTGACTGGGTGCCCCAGGCCATTCCTGCCACCCCTGCATCCCACCCTGTCCCCAGGAAGAGAAAACAAAACATCCCTGTCCTGTCCAGCTCTCCCCAACCCACTGTGAATTCAAAGGGCATTTCTTCCGACATGGGGCAACCCTGCATCCTCCCATCCCTACCCAGGAGACAGTTGCAAGGGCTTGGGAAGGCTGGGGATTACTGAATGGAGGAGAGGAGATGGATCAGGAGAAAAATACAGAAACAAGGATAAAATGTATGTTCCAGTGCCCTCCCACTGTGATTATGGAGGTCTGGTCCAGGTCAGGGACTGTAGTCTCACCTGGGTACTCAGACACACCACCAGCCAAGCAAGCACAGCCACCAGAATTTCTGGGTGGAATTCTGGTCTGAAAGAGCCTGCTCTAGCTCAGATTAATGGCTCCAAGCCTTCCTGGTCTGTGCCTCAGAGATGTATGCATGAGCAAGCTCCATCCCAATCATACCATCATCTCAAAGGAGTCTGGCTTGCTTTTAAATGCAAGAGAACACAGAGGGTCCCACGATACAATATTCCAAGTTACAACAAAAGCTGGGAATGGTACAAGTATTTACCTGATGAAAACTGAAATAATTATCATTTGGAGTCAAACACTCTGCATTCCAGCTTGTGGATGCCAAATGTTTTAACACAGACTGAAATCAAATCCTCCCCTCTAATAGAGGAGCAGGTAACAGAATATTCAGAAAGCAGAAAACAAACAAACAAGTTCTCTTCTGAGATTAGCAGATTTCATCTTTTACAGTCAACTTTAGTTTCTGAGAGCAGAAATGTTCTTAAAGCTTAACCATTTCCCTCCCCTTTTTGATCATTTCCAGATTCCCAAAATGTCACCAAAGAAATGATTATTTGCCCAGTACTGCACAGAAAAGAGCAAAGCTAACAGAAAGAAAGCCCCATATTCAGATCCCACCTCTGTCATATGCCTTGTCTTCTCCAAGAGACTGAACACATTGCTGCCTAGAGATGGGTATCAGTTAAAATGTCCTATTAATCAGGGTTTCACAAATCACCCAAATCCCACGGCAGCATTCAAATGTCTTCTAGTGAATGTCCCTGAAAGGTTAAATCATTTCAGAGTCATTCCAAGCACATAACCAAAGAAACAGCTGGAAGTAGGCAGAAACAAACAAAAGAAAACAAGGAAATGAAAAATGAAACAAAAGAAAAGAAGCAAAATAATTTTCATAATTTTAAGAGACTTAAGATTGATAGTTTTAACTACCAGAATCACAGTGTGCAAATGCTCAGACTTGCAACAAATAGATTCATTCCCCTGAAATCACATCCTGAATCATAAGAAATTATGTTCAGTGGTGCAAACCAGGCATTGTGGCATAGCAATGACTTTTAACACATCTGAAATACCTTTGCACAGTCCAAAATAAATAGATGAATTAACTGCAGATTTTCCTAAATGAAAGACACTTCAACAGATTTTCAAGCCCAATCCACAGTCTTAGAGCAGGTCGAGTAATTTCCTCTAGGTTCACCCATCATGAAAACCAAGGAGCATCAGAAGAACATAAAAAAATGCTTCCTCCTGCTCCACTGTGATACCCCCTTCATTCTCTCCTCTTCTTATGCAAGGAGTCCAGTTTCCTCAGAGAAACCCTTTCACAACTTGGGTCATCACTGCATCCCCTCCTGTTCCTTTCCAGCTCACTTTTTTTAAATTTATGAATGGGACTAGTACCACACATCACATTCCAGAAACTGATGGGAATGTTTTAAGTTTTACTTTTTTTCTGCTTCCCTAACAGTTTTAGGATCCAGTTTACTGTTTCTGACTGCTGACCTTTCCACAGAGGTCACTCACATGCCGTGACAATCCAAAGAAATACATGTAAAATTATGATGCTCCCTTCAGATATATTTATCTCCATGAAGTTTTTCTGATATTTTACCACTTCACTACTCGGCACAAGGACGCTCAATAATCCTTTGCTGTTGGTTCTAGGGATTCAGTCTCCTCTCTCCATGTAGGCACCTCACCATGCTGCTCTGTTAGTCTTGCCTAGCTTGTTTTTTGGCTGTACCAGTGACCACCTCCACCAACCCATCCCAGCCACCTCCTGCCGGCGTCCTGCTGCTGTTTGCTCAGGGGGAGAGGGAACACAGCCACCTCGGCAGTTTATTTGTGCTGAGAATCTTTTCAGGGCCTTCATCAAATCCATTTGCAAATGCGATTAAGCAGCATCAATGCAGCCACCCCTGCCCACACGCTCAGCAGTCCCTGCAGAGAGCTCCAGCAGATTCCAGCCATGATTTCTCCCTGCAGGAACTGTGCTGTCTCCCCCAGTGCATCACGTTTCAGCACTCAATTCTGCTGTTCAGAACAGCTTCTACCCTGTTGCCTGGCACAGACATCAGGCCTACTGGCAACAACAGACACAAACACTCTGCGGATTATCAGGTTCTTTGTCAAGTACAAGGTAGTGGACATAAGAGCTGTAATAAACTGTGCTGGCCCTCAGCTGGGCATGCCTGTAAGAGCCAAGACAATTTCCAGATGTCTCAGTACTGCAAGATACCAAGTTAGCGATAACGGCTTCAGCTACCGCTGTGTCTTCTCTTTGTTTGATTAAAAAATAATATAGAAGGAAAGATTTGATAAGCTTATTTCTCCAGGGAAAAGAAGGGGTCAGAAACATACACTTGATAGACAAGCCTGCATTCAGCAAGCATCCTGGCTGTGGGAAAAAGGACAGACCACAGGAAGAAAGCATCACACAACCAGCAGCACTATGCAAAGCAAGGCTTGATATAAAGAGGATTAATGGCGAGTCATCTGACCCCAAGCATTCAAAACAATGCTGTTATGTAGCATTACAAAACAATTCTGTTTCAGGGCATATGTAGAAGAGAAGGCATTTGTGGTAAACCAGCCTTTTAACAACACACTTAAGATGCACTCCATTTATCACAGTCACAAAATCGTATGACGTCCAGAGAATCTCAGAAACATTGGAACGTGACCAACCATTATTCAAATCCAATCAGTGCATCTATTTGAAAGAAGAAATCATCAGTTAAATCTTTCTGGACTTAAATGCCAAATTTAAGTATTAAAAAAAAAAAATCAGTGTGATATTATATAACACCTAACATAATATTTAACAGCTTATATATTGTTACATATAAGAGAAGTCAGAGCATATCTTGCTTTAGAAATCATGCACTGGAAGTTTTATTTTTAGAATTCGAGGTCTGAGTGGTCCCTCAACAGTTATGTCCATTTTGCCCAGGAACAACTAAATCTGATGATTCTAGAGATCTGTCTAGTCCAGTACCCTGTCACTGACAGTGAGTGACAGTAAGTGCCCAGAGAAGACTCTAAGACAAATGTTAATACATGGATATGCTTCCTCAGAATATTCCCCCAGCCTGCAATGATTTGTTCTCCCACTAACTCATAAGGTTGCAATTTGTGTCTGCATATTTTATACTCTTTGATGGATTTCAACTCCCAAGAATGTGTATGGCAGATTTCAAATCCATGTACACTGCTTATACCCACAGTGCCCTGTGGGAAGAAGTTTTGTACTCTGTGTGAAGCAGCAGCTCCTTGTGCCTTCCCTATCCAACTGATCCTAATTAGCTCCTTATGCTTAAGGTGGAAGAGAGCAATTAGCTCTCCACACACTTTTTCCATGCCAGACACCTTTGGAATTCTTGGGCAGATACTTTTCGATCTGACAACCTGCCATTTTCCATTTTGTCAGCTGACCTGCAACCCTGTCTACCAACACCCCAATCTATAACCACATACTCCCCTCTATCCTGAAAAGAAAAAAAAAAATCAAATACTCTGGGCTAAAAAAGCCCTCTCCTGATTTAAGACAGACACAAAGTGGTGATACAGCAATTTTATTACTTCTCTGTCATCCCAACTGTTTCTTTCACTTTTTCTCCATCCACAGGTATTGTAGATTCTCTGGTAGCCTTCTCTCCACTTGCTGCCTGGAAAGAATCACTAGTTTTTTATGCCTGCATCTTCATTGCTCTCCTTGTGCCAGTATGTTGATACTCAGATTCACCTTCCACATCTACATTACCTAAACCTCCTTTATTTATGCCCCACCACCCGCTCTGGGTGCTTCCCAGTGTCTCCCCATCCTTATACAGCAAATACCAGGCACACTTCCTTCATATCACCTGCTTTCCTCCACAGCCAGCCTCCCACAGCCAGTCTGTTCTGCCATCATATCTTGCGCTCAGTCTCTTCCCTCCCTTCACAGGTTTCATATTCCTCTTATTCCTTCCCCCATCAGACATTTCAAAGACTCCTAATTCAATGAAAGATGACAAGCCCCGGCCTCTTTTCCTGTAAATAGTTCATTTTCTCACTGTGACCATTACCGCTGCTTTCAGCCTGCTGCCTCCATCCCCTCTGGGGGCTGCCATGATTTTCTCCTCTTCTCTCTCTCTCTTTTCTCCTCTCCTCTGCAGTGCATATGCTTTGAAGCCTGCCCTTCCAAGAGAACACTTGTTTTGTTTGTCCTGTCCGGGACAGATGCCTACTTTGTGTCTGAAAGAGCACTGGGCATGCTGTGGGCACAAACCCCCAAGGAGCTGCAGCCCTGGCACAGTGACTGCAGCAAGGGTGGCACAGAGCAGCCACAGGGACCTGCCCTAGGACAGGCCATGGACTGAAAAATGCAGGATCCTAAAAACCTCCAGTGGTCATGAACAGCACCCAAGGCCTTACCTTCTCCCACCACGCAGCCTTTCGCTGAGCTACGAGCTGGTGCAGGTGCTCCTGGAGAGACAACAGGTCTCTGGATAATCTGTCCATTTGCCCAGTCAGCTTGGCAGCCCAGGGGGTGGCCTCTGGCAGCCTTCTTTTCTCCACATGTACATCCTGGGACTCACACATATTTCCCTCTTCAGCCATATTATCCAAAACAGTTTCCTAAACAAAAACCAATAAAAGTTACTTTTCAGCAGGAGCTAAAATGGTTCCCCCCATCCTCCTGGTAATTCATAGCTAGGAATTTACTGCTGCCATCTCAATATACAGTTGCTCCACAACTTCAGAGTTATTTTAAGAGAGAACCCCCTCAGTTCACTATAACATATTTCCAAGTTAACAGAAAACTTACGTTGCTAACCTAGCTTATTTTAGAAAGCACTGCACAGTCAGCTACTCTCCACTGCACTAAAGCATAAAGTAACACTCCTGAGATGGAGGTGAACAGCACTGCAGCAGCTCTAGATATGCCCTTCCTCTCAAATTCGGAGCTTGGATGCACTTCTAGGGCTTTTGGTAACAAAGTGATGACCAGGGAGGTACATGCCTACACAGGAGAGCCCCACCTGCTCTAACACCCACAGGGTCACTCGTGCCCATGGAAAACTCCACAAGTTGAGAAACTTGGGATTCAGGCTGGTCAGGAGCTGACAGCTCTGCTTGACCACAACCATCTAGCTGGTTTTTGATAACTAACTATGCAATTGTCTTCCAAGGTAGCAAGTGGTATTTCAAATACTCAAGGAAAAAAAAAAAACAACCTAAAACCAAAAGCATTTAAACAAAACATTCAGAGCCCGTCTATACACTCTGGTGCACAGACTGTGCAGAAACACACATTTTTTCAAGCCTGAATAGCACAGCATAACTAAAGGACATAGGCCTTACTCACAGAATATTAAATATTTATTTCCATACTGTTATCAAGAAGACATTCAATAGGAGAGGTCATAATCTCTTTTAAGGACATAATTTGCATCCAAAATTATCTTTAGCAATTGAAGAAGTAATTTAGAAACGCTGTCAGGAAATTCAGCAGTTGAGCAGCGTGGTTCATACACGAGCAAGGAAGAACCAAGTGCATAATTACTGGCACAGCAGCAACACTGCTGGAGGAGACGTCAGAGAGCCAGAAGTCACCAATGTCACACTGCTGAAGTCAAGCACTGTGTCACAAAGTATAAACACAAGTCCCAGTGATAGAAGAGTGCTGACTGTAATGCTGACACGCAGGTGAGGCACTTGAAGTTAAGCACAGACAAATGAGAGGGAAAGTCCCAGATGAGAGCAGCAACAAACATCAAAAGCTCGAATGAATGGCCTACAAGGACACATAAAGACATCAAAACTTCAGCTTAGCCTAGAAACAGGGATGGAAAGGCAGTGACATGCTAACAGCCTTCACTTATATAAAAGATTGCTATAAAGAGGATGGGAAATTTTATTTTTTCTCCTCTTTCACTCTTCTCTCAGAAGGTAGGTTAAAAACTCTGGCTTAATTCAGAGCAAAAGATTCTTAGACTCATGCAAGAAAAAGCTTCGTAACACAGCTAAGAATGGCATAGGACACCCTGCAAAAGCTCCTTTCTAGGCAAGCACTGGTGCTGGGAATTGGCACAAAGCAGCACGGAGGGCAGCAGCTCCTGCTGCCCCATGGCCCAGCTCACAAGAACACAGACATGGCAGGGACATGGACAGGATAACAAACTGCAAGGAAATAAAGCAAAGGGCTTTGGCTTTTGGGGGTTTGGGGGTTCTTCTGTTTATACCTTATTTGGAAATTGATTAAACAACAGAATTGTAAAGTAACATTAACAGTCAGACAACGTTCTCAGGCACATGGTGGGATTTTTGGGCAGTCTTTTGCAGGGCCAGGAGCTGAACTGATCCTTGTGGATCCCTTCCAGCTGATGATACTCTGTGATTACTGCAGTCATTCCAGTTCTGCAGTGATGTCATGCTCTGCTGTGTTCCTGCCCACCACCAGCAGGCAGAGCTGACAGCAACTATGCAAGAACCATCCCATCCATCAGATCACCAATGCAAAACACAAGTTTGGTAGAAAGAGAAAACTACTGTCTTTTCTAAGCACATCTTACCCCCATCCATCCTACTGCATCCAAGATCAACCACCATCATCAGCGAAACAAAAGAAAAAGGCAAATTCACCATCCAGCACACTGAATAGCTTAAAAATATGTTGCTGGTCAATTTTCAAGTATTTATTTAGAACTTGACTCCAGCAAGCAGGCTAAGACTCTTCAACATGTCAAAGGCAAATGTTTTGGCAGATACACAGAAATAATTGCAGTTATATTTTGGGAGCCAGGCCTGTGATAACACTGATGCTTTCCAAAAAAACCCTAAGATGGTAAAGCAAAAACCATCAGAGAACTAACAGAAATTGGAAGTACCCTTCAAGACAGGTGAGGCAATTTCACACTGCCCTTTGCCTTGCTTTTAGTGTAGAAAAAGGCACATAGGCAATTAGCAGTCAGCTCAGCTGATTCTCAAAATTCTGTAAGCTCATAGAGCTAATGTGGTGTGCTAAAGAATTATTTCAGCAACACTGAATGGGCAAAAGTCGTAGAGAGAAGTGAGATGGATGGCATCATTTGCACTCACTTGAGAAAGCCTAAGATGCACAGAGAAAGGGTTATTGATTTTCTTATGATCATTCAACACAGTTCAAGGGGAAATCAGCAATGTCAACACACTATTTGGCTGGGGAAAAATGAAATTGTTTTCAATATCAGCTGCCTGTAAATTTAGTTGTTCTCAAGACTGCAATAAAGCTTAGAGGCCCTCTTCTGAAAAGCCATTTAATTTTACAAAAATGTGCAACTGCTATGTTTAAAAACTATTAAAAATATGAAGATCAGACCTTTTCATTTTGTTAACTATGTGAAATTCTGCAGTTCCTCAACTTAGCTGCATGAGTCCTACTGAAGAAAACAGGAATAAAAGCAGGAATAAAAGAGAACTATGAAAACATTCCTTACTTTACCGAGACTTTTTTCCCTTTTTCTCAAGTGATGTTGAACAGATGGTTTGCAACATTTAATTTTGTGGGACTTAAGGGCCTTTGGGAGTAGCCAGCTATGTTAAAAGTCAAGAAAGATGCACCCCTCAAAATCAGTTTCATTTGTTACCATCCACTGCCAATAAACTGGTTCCAGTTGCTTCCATTCCAGAAAGGCTTCCAGCTGCTTGGTCTCAGAGTCCAGGAGCTGTAACAGCTACAGGAGAGGAGACAAAGGACAGGAAATCAGGTAACCTTGGCCACGTGAGAACTACATGAAATGTGTGCTTAGACTGAAGTATAAAAAGAGTGTGAGTGGTACATGGGACAACAATGGGTGGCTTTACAAGAACATTTTAAAAAAAGATGGGGAAACGTGAAGTAAAACACTTCTCCCAGTAGCACTGATTTATCCCTCACCCCAAAGGTACCAACTTTATCAGCTTTTCCACACATAAATGTGAGTTTCCTATTGTTTTGTGGGAACAAAGAGACACAGTTCTGATAGACATGCTTAGTGAATGACCAGCTTCAAATCTTCCATGCTTCTTAACCACCAAAATAAGCTGTTACTCCAAAAGTATTTTTCCCTGTCCATCCCTTCACTCTGAAACAGCATGGAAAAACTCTCTCTAAAATGTTATGTATTTCATAAATTGTATCATCTGCTGTATCAGGAATTCCTCCCTTTGCCTGAGAGCACTCAAAGGAGAGATGCTGCATTATAGGTACATAAATTATTTTTTTTTTCCACAGATATATGCATGACACACATGTATGCACACACATATATGGTGAAGAAGACATTCCAAGACTAAATATTTATATATCAGTAAAAAAAAAACCTCTTGTAAAGAATGATAAAGTGAACAAATTTGCCATAAATCAGAGCTCACCAGCTTTAACAATTTTGGTTCTGACCATACCTTTGAAACAAACAATTTTAACACCAATCTGACACCAAAGGCAACCTCTTAAGATGACCACAAAGAGTGTAGGGCCTTGAGGAGAGTGGTAAAGACCAGACCAGTACCAGCTAAATCCATTTTATGGATTACATTTTATACAGACAACTATCTTCTGCTAGCTTTGTTTCATTTAGTTACTTAGTATATAACATAATTTAAGTAACTGCAAAGCATGAGTTGACTTTGCAATTTTATTATGCAGATATTACCTGAAGATAAAGGAACCAAAGAAAGGAAACCACTTTGCAAGAGTAACTGCTGGAAACTTTATGCAGTTTGCTCTAAAACACCACTGGATACAAAATACAATTATTATACATTTGCTCACACACCAGACACTTGGCATTACACTTAATGATTCTGCTAGTTTCAAGCTCAGCTGGGATAGAAAAGGTGGAAGAATGGCTTCCTGTCTCCTTTTTTCTTTTCTCCTTTTTTTTTTCCATAGGTACATCTACAGCACAAATGGCTTACATTATGGAATCTGAGGCTTGCAAGAAAACCCAGCCAAAAAATTGATTAAATATTCAGGCAACAGTGAAGTTACTTGACTTTAAAGCAGCTCTGTAATGTGGTCATGAGCTGTGTGTGATTACAGTATGAATACATCTTACTACAGCTAAAGAGGGCTGAAGGTTGGGATGGGGAGGTTTTTCATTCTGAGCCTTCAAAAAAAGAGTGATCTTAATAAAACCACAGTCATCATCTTTATTCTCACCTGAATGTTAGAAGCACCATATGCCACTTGCTTTCACAGCACAACTGAGAGTAACTGACCTTAACAACAATCACAGCTTCCTCAACAGTCTCCTAATCTCAAACCCTTTGGGCTCAAAATTTTGTATCTGGGTGCTCTTGTTGCCTTTTTTTTTTTTTTTTTTTTTAACTGCTTCATTAGTTATAACAATAAAACTCGAGCAGCTTGTGTGAAAGCATTCATCTGACTCCCCCATTTACAGCATCCTCACCTTTCAGTAAGGTATTAACACCCTCAGAAACAGCAGGGCAGCAATTGTGTGCTGTGCTGGATTGCTTCAGTCGTAAATCAGTAAGGGGATGACTCCAGCTGTCCTTGGAGGACAGTTTCCAGCAGAGCTGGAATATACCGTGGCAGCCTCAGGCAGGCCTGCAATAGCCAACATTTGAGTTTCCACCCTGAGGGACTTCAGGCACTGCTCCTGAATGCCAATATCCTCTAACATCCTTTCTTTACAGGCCTTGCAAGGCTTTGATGTTATTGCAGCATGGAGAATAAAGCAGAACGCAATAAAAAAATAATGTACTACAAATATCCTTGAGATGCCTTAGCAAAAATCATAAAAACAAATAAATGTTCAAGGCTGGGAAGGGACAATGGATTGTAATGTCCATGTGCCTTGAAATTGGTCACAAAGACAGGGTCCACATGCCGCAGGGGCGACAGGCTTTCACTCAGACATGCCTACACTTAGGAATGAACATTTCTGTCAGGCAGCCTCCTTCACCCAGCCTCATCCTTTTCATGAGCTTCTCACGAGCATTTTGTGTTCTTTAACAAACTCTGCTTTTTGTGACTCTGAGGCCACAATGCACGTTTTCTTTGGTCACACATCACAGAGCTGGTATTTCAGAAACCAAAGCCCAAATTTACCTCTGCATCCCCCCCAAACACAGCACTACTTCTTGTTCATTTACTACCAACAAGAGTTCACTCGCATGCCACAAGCAGTTCCAGCTCTGATGCTACACAATCCTCTCAAAACAAATTCCCAAGCTGTAACTAAAGCTGCCAGCCCATTTTCAGTCAACTAAGGACCCAATGTCACACCTCCTAATGAAATTTAAAGACTGAAGTCAGTAGAAGAACATCAATTTTGTTTCATGAAAAAAAGTGAAGCAGCAAGTCAAAAAAGTGCCTCACGTGGGTATCTAAGTGATGCTTAAGCATAATGCCTGAAAATTGTGTTTCCCTCTACACAAAATTAAGACAACCAAATCCATTTCCTTCATTCTTCTGGAGGAAGTTATTGCTCTAAAATATTTACACTGACTGAAAAAGTAACAACAAATTCAAATTGCTAATCGCTCTGGAGAGGCAATTCCATAATGAATGCTGAGAGCAAAATGTTTGCAGGAACAACTTCTTTAAGGCGTTGTAAAGAAACCACCCCTGGTGCAAGCAGCAGCTCTGCTCCAGAGGGTGAACTGTGCCTAGCTGAGCTGCCTCAGAGCAGGCTGCCAGGAAACCCCAGAGTGATGCAGAAGGATGCTAACTCTGTACAGAGCATGCCTTGCTTCCTCCAGCACGTGGCTGTGACCTCTAAAACCAAACATCCAGCCCCCACGGCAGATCCCAGACCTCAGGGAACAGCGGGAGCTTCAGCAGCAGAAGTCCGAGGTGACAAGATGATCCAGGTGGTTTTGGACACTTCCCTGAATGTTGGAATTTGTGGGTATTGGTGATTTTGAGATTGTAGAAAGTCTCTGTCTTTCTGCCCCGCTGCCAAAGCAGAAGCCATAATTGGTCTGTGCTGGTTTCAAGGTTGTTTATTCTGTTTATCTCTAACATGTTCTGCTGCCCTGCCGCAGCTCTGTCCTGCAGGGCAGCGTGTGGGGCTCTGCCCTCAGTGGGATGTTACACACATTATATACCAAAAACTACCTGTGCTATATTTACAAGAATGTGCCAATATCTGTCACCTACGTTGAACAGTGTGTCCCCAGCCTAAACCAACAGAAAAATGCCAACACCACAGTGAAACATGGAGGGCATGAAGGAGGAAAAGGACAAGACACACCCAATTCCTCCATCTTGTCCCCTCTGAACCCCTAATCTAGAAACCTAAAATTTTCCTTTTGCACCCGTGTCACACTTAATTATTACTCTTATCAAACACTTAAAGCTTATAATTCATCCTGTAAGACCGAAAACTCTTTTCCATGGACAGAGATCACAGCCAGTGTCTCTGGGGGCTCTGTCCAGGAGGGTTCCTGACCCCTGCCAGGGTCCCAGACCTGCCAGGGCAGCCAGAGGGAAGCCCTGGATTCCCACACCTGAAAATACTCAAAAGCCACCTGGATGCAGCCCTGAGTAACGTGCTTCCTCCTTGAGCAGGGAGGTCGGGCTCGGTGGCCTCCAGTGGTCCTTTCCATCCCCGCCCATCCCGTAATACTCAACAAGAGGCCAAAGCTGAATCTTCCTCAGCATCTCCAAGTGTAATTGGCATGTTGTTTAAAGATATTTGCAAGTACTTTTTCTGTAAAGATATTAATCTCTTTCGTATTATTTACCACCATATTAGAAAAATCATTAGTGCCTGTAGACTGTTATGGAAATCAATATTTTATAAATTTGCAGCACAATGTACCCTTTTCACAGGCTCAGCTCCAGAGAGCTCCCCGCAACAAGTATTTAATCTCCGATGCCCACAGCTCATAATTCAACATCCACAGCACTGGCAAAACTATTTTTAATCAAAAATTGCTCTACCTAAATGTTCAGAAAATCATTTTATTGTTAGACAGACAAAAAAAATGGTCTTTCAGCAAAAAACTCTGTTTCTTGGCTCAGAGACAAAACACTGCTAATTCATCACTGTTCATATACGTCTGTAGACAGAAAACTTGCACTGGGCTCCTGAGCCCTGAAAACCTCACCCAAATGCCAGCATCTCTGGAGAATTACTCAAGGCTTGAGACAGGGTTGGCTTAGCAGGAAAGCTTATATGGGGAAACTACCTAGACTATTCAGTAACTGTTTAATAGGGAATGGCTTTATTCAGTGTGCATTTGGGTAACCTGAATTCTAGTTCTGGATATCTCAAAAGCACAGGAGAGAAGGTAAGTGGAGAAGTCCATTCCAAAAAAATGCAAAGAAAAGGGGTAAACATTCACGAAAGTTATACCATTTACGGTACCAGAAGCAAACCATAACTGGGATTAAGGCTTTAGAGACCTAACCAAGCATCATATGAAACAAAAAGAATTCAACACATCTTCTCTATCAATACAAAACTGAAAAAAACCTGCAAACCTTGACAAATGAGAGCCTCTCAGCAGGCAGGTTTTCAGGTTTAAATTTGGTTTAAATGGCACACACAACCCAAATTGAACTTTGGTATGGCTAAGTTTTGAAACCCTCATTCATCACAAGAAACTGAGAAAATCTCAGTATCACAACCATCTCAGGCTGGGACAAATCAGCAACACTGTAGGTGGACACACTCAGTGCTCCAAGTTTCAGCTCCACATTATGATTTTTCCAGAAGCA